TCTTATACTGTATTAAAAAGTAAACATATTTTAAATTTGATGGTTTAATAAGATCTTTAGGTAGGAAAATCCAAAATTGTTAATTTTAGTTATTACCATCTATTTACATTATCTAATATGCTTTTTAAATCTATTACTACTTCATTTTCTTGTATATCTTCAGGTTCTTCTGTATCTTCTGAATCTTGATACTCTTCTTCATATTCGTTATCATTGGTAAGAGTGTCATCTTCTTTTTCAAGTCTTTCCAGAAATGAATTAATGTTCTTATATATTCTATTCTTATAGCACTCTCTACAGTGTCAGCAACCATACTCCATTTTATCGTAGCAATGCCAATGAAAACCATGTCCACTGATTAATATGGTTCCACCACTATTTTCGCTTAGCTTTTTGTAACAATTGTTACAAAGTTCTGGTAAAGGAGGTGCTCCAGTGCTATAGCCCGTTGGTAAGCACATAATATTAGCATCTTTATCTAAAATGGCAAGTTTATATTTTACAGGTTTTTTTTTTTTCTTTCCTTGCTTTTTATTATTATTTGTTATACTAGAGACTACACTAATATGTTGAAAAGTTTGATAAAAATAATCCAACAAGAATAGTGACATTTTATCTACTAGGTATTCTAGAGTAGAAGAAGTATATGGGTATCTTTTTTTTGCATTAAATATTTCTTTAAATGGCAAGTGTTTATTTGCATCTATTTTTTTAAAAAATTATTTATATAATTAGTAAAATTATTGCTTTATTTAAAACAAAGTATTTTTTTTTTTAACCTACTTAAAACACATGCTTGTTGGATAACATTTTCAGCACTATCGTGAGCCGATGTATTTGCTTGTATTTGGCTATGAAAGTTTTTAATGAAATAATCGTTGAAGTTTACAAGAAACATTTTAAAAACATCCAACATTGGATGTTTTTGGGTTTTCCAATAAAAAATGTCTGACAAAAATGCCAAAGAGGCCTTGTTGTAATTTTTACGATTCCAACGTAGGGCGAAAGTCCATATTCAAAAAATAGTTTCGATATACTCGTTAAAAGAACCTGAGCGAAAAAGAACTGTATATATGTCTAAAGTTGACGGAATAACATTGTTGAGAAGATCTATTAATATTTTATACTCGACATCTTTACATAGAGGGTCAAATTTTTCTAATATTTTCACTTTTATTTTTAACCATCCTTGATAGGCGAGTTCAAGTAGAAGGTTTACCCTCTATGGTTTTGGTTTTTTTGCAAGACTTTTTCTCTTAGGATTTTTTTCTTTAGAACCTGTAAGACTCTTTTGCTCATGAAAAAGTTTTTTAAAAAAAGAATAATAGGTTATTATAACCTGTTCTCGACTATTTAATGAGACATGGAGTGAGCCTAATATAGGTATAAAGGCATTAATATCAATTGGTACTTTTATATTTGTATTTTGTTTATGTAAATGAGTTAATGCCTTTCTAATAAAAAGTTGACCAGGCTAGTCAGCAACGACTAACATTATATAATTATTCGCATAATTAATATCTTTATTTATTGAAAGAATCATATCTAATACGTTTATATAATCATCTAAGGTATGAAGTACGCTTTCTTTAATTCCAACTAATTATATTTTTTCTATATTTCTTTCACTTTTTTTGTCTTTTATAGCTTCGTCATAGCAATGAACCGTTAGAAGATTGATTTGATCGAAGCTGGTTAGCTCTGTATTTTGTGAAGTAACCTATTGGCTTTTTCTTTGTGAATATGAAAGATCAAAAATACCATGGTATTTTGTAATTAAGTATAAACAAATTAATGATACGTCTATATTAACAGGGTTATGAATGGAGATATTATTGTAATTTATAGGGATCAGTGCACACTTAGGAACTTCTTTACTAACATACGTCACAAAGTGGATTGGGGCTGAGAGTGAAGTAGTATCTGGGCATCTTATGGAGTGTATATTATAGTAATCATCAAGATTATATATAAAAAGGCTATTATTCTAATGTTAAAAAAATTATTTTTAAAGAATTGCAATTTGAATCATAAAAGCACAAATAGTAAGTTATTAAATTTTATCTTTTCTACAAAATATTTTTTGGATACTCATTGGCAAATTTTTTCCTATAGTTGTCGACAGTTCTGTAACAAACTGAAAGGCCAGCCTTATGCAATGTATCAATTGCATCACACGACGCACCAGATGCTACAAGATATAGTCCAATTTCTAGAGGATAGCTATTTACAAACTTATTTCGTATCCCTGCTATTGAATAGCATATATTAACAACCTTTTTTTTATCTTCTTTTTTATTATAAGCAGATTGCCTATCCGGAATAAATGCATTATATAATTCATTAAAAAATCCTTTTAATGATGGTTCTGTACTTTCAAGCATCTTTTGAAAATTATTCGGGTCTAATTCGAGTTCTTGATTTTCCTTTCTTTGCTTTTCATACAATACTATTGTCATTAAAGCAATTTTATCACCAAAAGATAATGGCCTAGAAATTTTGATATCTGGTGTATTAGCCAACAAAGCACCGCGGTTAGAAGATTTGGCGTCAAGTGCTCTATTTTTATCGTGGCGATTAGGTTCAACGATAATTAAATAATGAGAGTAACGTAATTGCATTTCAATTTCTAAATAATTATATTGATTGATAATATCTTTGGCTCTTATTTTTGTTAGAGCATAATCTGTAATTCTGTGAAATTGGTTTGAATTAAATAGTAGCCTTGTGCATATATATTACAATTATGATATACTAATTTAGTTAGATACTCATTTATACCAAAAAAGGAAAAGGCATAATTCATTTCATCTTTTACCAAAAACTTACTACTTTGGATAGTGATCAGTAGATTTGTCTAACAACTTAACATTATTAAAAGTCAATTGCTTCTAGCTAAGTATTGTGTAATTAAAAAACAAATTCTTTAAAGTTTATAAAACATACAAGTTTACATTTGCTTTTAGTTGTATATTATATTATTTATTTTCTATTTTAGTTTTACATTAGCAAAATATATAACCATAATCTTGCATAAGTTATTACAGCCCGAAAACTTGCACAAGAATTACAGTCTGGGCAAAATATTTTGCAATTAATTACGTAATATTACGCAATTTATTATGGAATATTATGCAATTAATTATGCAATTTATTTCGAAATATTTCGAAATTATATACAGTACCCTAAAATACGATGCACCCACAACATGTAACAAATATACTATTATATAGTATATAATATATATATAATGATAATATTAAATATAATAAAACTTTTTTTTATTTATTTACTTAAAGTAAATACATAATTTATCTTTAACCACTCTAATGCTAAACCAACCTTATTTCTAACTAACCACCTATTTCTATTTTAATCCTAACCCTAAATCTAATCCCTAAATACCTGATCTCATTTTTTAATTCTAACACTAAACTTGGATCGAATTCTAATCCTAACTTTAAATCCAATCTTTTTTAAACCAAACACCAGATTATTCTCTTGAAGGTCTGGAGAAGTCAGTGTAGAGTTCTTGCAAAATGCTCTATGATCCGAGATTTTTATTAGCTAACACTGTTCCAACATCTGATCCAAATTTATTATTAGAATTCAAAGTAGTGCTGGCACAATCAAACAAATATTTGACAGTCAAATACTTATGATTAAGTCAGAAGACAAATGATCATTTGATATCCAATTTAATCCTGTAATTACAAGTATTTGACTGTCAAATATTTGTTTGATTGTGCCGAGCACTAATTCAAAAAAGTTAGCAAAGTGCATCTGCTAATACTTTACCCTATTTAAATCCAAGATTATTTGAAGATCCAAATAAATTGGCATAGTATTCTGATAATGCCTTCCTCTTTCCAATCCAAAAAGTTAGCATAGCATCTTTACGAAGTACATCAATTAATGCTTTTCCACCTTCTGGCCCAAGATTATTAGCATAAAGACTAGACTATTTTAGGGTATCCATATTCTGCTCCAAAGAAGTTGCGTGTTGTTTTTGTACATGCCTTCTTTCTTTCTTTCCTGCTTCTGATCCAATATTATTGCATAAAGAGGTTGGCATGGTGTCCTTGTAAAGTGCATCTGATAATCTTTTTGGCCCAAAGAAAGCTCAGTATAATATTTTTAAAAGTATGTTAACTAAGAATTATTGTTTCAAAGGTCTAAAGAAGTTGGTGTAGTGCTCTTGCTAATCATGTATTTTCTTTCTGATGCCCTACAATATGTGGTTTTCCACCTTCTGGTCCAAGATTATTAGTATGACGTTTTAAGGCACAAGTCAACAACACCTGAAATAACAAAAATATATATACGAAGCTCTGACAATTCATCGATGTGGAACCACCCAAGCAATGAGATTCACACCAAGCAATGAAATTTACAAACACATCTAAACAATAACAACTCCCTAAAGCAACTTCAATATCGGCATCTCTAGCAATAACGATACCTACAAAGACTGAAGAATCCACAATACTGTAACCTAAATAAAACAACATTAAATGAACCAAATCATTGTTTATATATCTGTGATTGTTACATTACACGGAAATACTAGAAAAAATTAGAAAAAATCCAATGTATTCTACAGGTAAACATATTAATTCATTTTGAAATATTTTGAAATATTTTGAAATATTTCAAAATATTTTGTAAAATATAATTTAATAAAATTAAAAATTTCAAAATATTTCATTATTTTTCAAAAGATTTCAAAAAAATGTGAAAGTTTTCGAATAATACGAAAAGTATCACCACCAAAAATTATGATATAGTCGGGTTTAAATTTATTTTCCGACATTAAATTTAATAATATGAATATTGTAAAATGGAAAATTTAAAACCTTGTTCATTTTGTTGAACTATAAAACCCATTTTAAGTGATATTTGCAAGCAAAAAAGAATATTTTGTAAAATCTGAAGCGATTAAACATATAGTATAGTTTATGAAAAGCTTGTGGATGTTGAAGAAGAAAGCAATATGCAT